TATTAGAGGTGATAATTGGGGAAGCTATCTTTGTAATGGGTAAGATAACTAGATCCTTTATTCAGACTCAGGTGTAAAGTGTCGAATTTTAGCATGAATAACAGTTCAGAGGATTGTGATAGAAATGTAGCCGTGTTAGTCTGGTGTAGCTGAAACAAAATACAGGACTATATAGCACTTTAAAGACTACCCATTACAAAGATAGCTTCCCCAATTATCACCTCTAATATTCCCACCCCTTAGGACGTAAGCTTTCAAACGTGACCCTTGAACCACCCTTGTGCAGTCCTTCCTGTTGCACCACTGACCAGCAGGGGGCAGGAGAGCTGCAGTCTACTCCCCCTCCTAGCAAGCAAGCCCCGCCCTCCTCCTTTCCAAGGGCCAGAGAGACTGAACTCAACCAAAGGGTTTATTTCCAGGTCCAAATAGATAAAATTACACCAGTGTTAAAGCAGTTTCAAAAGTGACTATGACAGTGTCTCCGGCTTTACAGTCAAGGGCTGGTGAGGTTTCTCTTGCTGAGCTGTCATAAAAAGCAGCTGTCACAGTTACATCTGTCCAGATGTTGGAGAGGTGGCCCTCCCACCTCTGCTCGCAGGGCAGCCTGCTGCAGGGCACTCGCCAGGGTGGCTGCTGCGCACTGTGACCCAACAAACAGCAGGGTTGGATTCCAGCCTCCGTTAGTCCTGCAAATGGATCCGGTCTCTGCAGCCCCGTGAGAAACCACCACAGAGTCCATGGACGAGGCACCGTCGGCCACAGCCTGGCAGCGGCCCCTTTCCTGCTCCCTGCAGGCGGCAGCTCCGGATCCACCGCACCAGGCTCACTCCCTACAGGCATTTCTCAAGGAGTCCCGACGGGGGGCGCTCTGCCATTCATTCCGAGGTTGGGGTGACCAGGGAGTGGAATAATCAGGACAGCTTGTGGGGCGGGGCAGGAAGCTGCATATAGAAGACAAAATCCCTAATACCGGGACAAATCCTAATATTCTCAGGACGTTTGGTCCCCCTGACATGGGTGCTGGCCAGGGCAGTGCTTAGGGGAGGCATTGTAAAGGCTGAGTGCTCAGGGGTCTAGCCACACACCTGCTGGCTGCAGCCCTACAAGTCAGTCGCCTTTGCACTAAGGCCCTTCACACCACACAGCAGCGTAACAGGGGCTTAAGGTGAATGGGACTAGCAAGGCCCCGACATGCAGCCCCGCCCTAACCCAGGCAGTGGCTGAACAGCCATTGGTCCCTTAGAGCCTCTTCCATGCAAAGTGTTGCCCAAGAATCAGTAACAATGTCAATGCGGATGGCAGCTTCCTTCCCAAGCGTGAGCAGCCACCAGCCAGAGTTCGGGAGCATGGGGGCGGGAGGGGAGGAGAGAGCAGCACAAGGCAACACAACCCCGCGCCGCTGAGCGTTCCTGCCTTGAGGGAGGGCCCTGAGCTTCCCCCTCGAGGCAGATAAATCCAACCCATAACACTGAACAGCAGGAGCCTGCCCCCCCTTTGGGAGACGGCCCAAGGCCGGGTGTGAACTCCATCTCCGCGCCACCCCAGCAGACCTGGTTTCAACTGAGGTTTGGTCCAACCGCACTGGACGGCTCTCCTGGCCCTCCCCCTCAGCGTGCAGAAATGGAGTTCAAGTGGAGCCTGGTATCACGGGGAAGAAGCGCCTCCTTGCTCCTGGACTGGATTTTCTCTCTGGTGCCTCACAACCAAACCAGAAGCCCAGGGAGAGATGAGCATGGCCCCTGGCCCCTCATCGCAATGTCCCTAAGCCAGGGTGAGGAACTTTTTCGGGTCGGGGGGCCGCTGATCCACAGAAAAAAATCAGTCGGGGACCACACACAAGTGAGAAGCAAGTCGGGGAGTAAAGTGAGGCAGCCCCCAACTGAAGAAAAAGACATTCTCCACATTCCCTGCAGACACCAGCGACTTGGGGGGCTAGGGGGTTGTTCTGGCTAGTAGATTGTGTGTGCTCCAGCCCCTGAGGTTCGGGGGCCAGACCCAGGCAAGCTGGGGGGCCACACCCAATTCCTAGGCCGTAGGTTCCCCACCCCTGGCCTAAGCCCTTCTCAACATTCACTTCCTGCTCTGGGGCACCATGAAGATGACACTCCCGACACTAGTACAGTGGTTATTGGGGGGTGGGACCACAACATTTCTACAGCCACAGAACTTCTTCGGTTCAGTGCTTTAGCATAACCCAGGCTCCTTTGGGCTGCCACTTCTGGCCGCATAGAGCCCATCCCCAGGCTTAGGCGCCTCGACAGTGCTGCAAAGGCTTTAAGGTGACCCACTGCATGGGCTGCATTTCACCCTCCTGGCGAAACCAGGCTGCAAGGCGGGTCTGTCGCTCTTAGGAAAATAAGATCGGTTTATGCAAAGTCACCTGCAGCACAGCAGGCAAGAGTCCAGCCCCACGGCTCTACAGAACAGGGAGAGTCTAGAACGGGACTAAAAAGGCACTAGGTGTAACTTTAAAAAAATAGTTAAAATTGCAGTGAGTTACAGTAATTCACACAGAACATTTACAGCAGTTCATGGGGCAAAGGGCAGGGCGTTGGCAGGAGAGGGTGGAACCAATCCAGGGTTAATGTCACACGAGGAAGGACGAGGTCTGTTTGAATTCGCCCTGGAGGAAGAGAAGGAAAGTCACAGTGAAGTCCCATGTACACAGAGCACAGTGAATACTTCAAAACAAACCTGTTTTCCCTCTCCCCAGCCCCTCAGAGAACAGCTCGTGGTCCTGGGGAGCCAGGCAGCCCCTAGTTCACTGGGGTGAGAATCAGGAGTTCTGGGTCTCAGTCCCCACTCTGCTCCGCTCTCAGCGAGTTTCCTCTCCCACTCTGCATGCCTAGCTTCTCTGGCTACACGGAGCTCTTGCAGGGAGGGACTGTCCCGTGTGCGTGGGCAGTGCCTGACATCAGGGGCAGGTCTGACACCACCACTCTGTGGGCGAGCACTGGGTTTTCTGCATAGAAGCACAAACTAGATCGCAGGGGAAGTGATCACAAATCTTCCCCCAGCCCATCTGACATCAATCCATGTCACCAGCACACTGGGTTTGGACCTTGTTAAGTACATCTTTCTCTGCCTACTGGAGGCACGCAAGGCACAATCTATCTGTGTTCTGGGGAAGCCGCTCTTTTCCAGTGCACCGGAGCGGCTGTACCACTTTACAGAACACAAGGTAGGGTCTATGTAACACTGAGTCAAAGATCCCAAGCTGTTAAAACTGAACCTTAATCCTCATGATGACATATTACGCACATTTAACAGATGGGTAAGTGGAGGCACAACAGGTGTAAGGGATCAAGTTAGGAAAAGAACCCACAAAGCCTTTAACTCCCAGACCCTGACTTTGGCTTTTACCACTCACAGTAATGCCTGTTTTCCCTGAGTGAATGGTGCTGGGCTCTCAGCAAAGGTGGCATTTTCCTGCACAAACTCCAGGCAAGGAGGCTCCTAAGTCCCATTTTCAAGAGCGTGGAAGTGCTTTGGGTCAGGTTTTTAAACAGCATTTAGGTGCCGGAAAATGCAGATAGGCACAAAGGGAGATTTCCAAAAGCACCATGGCACATATCTGTCTTTAGGCACATAAATCCCTTAGAAATCTGGCCTGTGGGCTCTTAAATACCTAAGTCCTGGTATGAAAAGTGACTTTGGTGCTTTTGAAAGTCTGATGACAGACGAAGAACTCAGGTGGTGCCGACACCACTTCCCACGTTCCTGCCTACCCCGACTCTCTGAATGGCCTCTGGCTGACTGGTTAATTACACTCCAGATGCTAGTTTCTCACTAATGATTAGTCATTCAATTTCACTTCTGCACTGGAATTTCTCTTTTGGACACTTATTTACCACCGGAACATGGTGAGTCTGGATCTTTACTGAAAGGTCCTTAATGGAATGGGTGCATGGCCAAGCAATGCGCTGGAGCTACCTTACCCCACGTTGTGTGTCTGTGGCAATGGTTTAGATTTAGAAAATCAGGGGCTTTTGGTCTTTAATTCCTTGTGACATAGGTAAGCTGCACCACAGTGGCCAGACAGATCAGTTCTCTAGTGTTTGTGTGTGCGCGCGGGGGGCGGGATGGGGACATGGGACGATACTCTACATCATTCTACCTTGCCTAGCAACCTCAAGGAGGCTCGTAGCACTATGCTTTTGCTCATCCAGAAGTTACAGGTTTGACACAAGGGTCACTGGGTGAATTTGATCGCCTGCGTTATGCAAATGAGCATAACGGTCTTTTCTGGCCTCCATCTCTGACTCTCAACTCGTCTATCATAGCAGTGACCAAAGCCTAGCTAGGACCCTTTGGGCACATTTGGCTTGGTACCAAAGGCTGACTCGATATTGCGAAAGGAGTGAAAGTTACGCAGCCAGCTCAGCAGGTTTTAACTGGGTGGCGTGTGGGTGAAGGCACTAAAGAGAGAGGCATTTACTCTTCTCTAGCCTGGGCTGGTCATGACTGACTAGCAGCTCAAAACAAACTGAGCGGGGATGGTGGTGTTGCAGCATTGGACACAGCAGAGCAACTAAAGACAGTCTTGGGGCAAGAGAAATCTTCCCAGCACTGTCTCTGTACTGAAGAGCCAGCCGCACCCCCAGCACTAGGGAGGCAAATGCTCCCGACACTTGGAACTCCTTTCTGACCGGCACGTTTTCGTTTAGTGATGCCCTGTTTTCAGCACAAGCTTTAGAGGAAGGGCACTGGGGAGAATCAAACGCACACTGAACTGAAGGTCTTCGAGGTCTGACAGTGACTAAGGGGCTCTGATGCAGAGGCTCTGCAAGCAAATCTGGCTGACTCTGAAAAGTGGAACACCAATACCCGCCATGCTCAGGATTGCTGGCCGGGACACTGGGAATCTGCCCACCTGACTTATACGGTGGTTACAGGAATTACCTACGTAATTGAGCTGGCACAAGTCAGAGCATCTGAGCCGCTTGGAGTCTGGCTCTTCCCAGCCCACAGTGGAGGGCAGGGTTGTGCTACTATCCCCATTGCATTGGGAACTGAGTCATGGATCCACCAAGGTGTTTAAGCTCCATTTCAGTGGAAGTTGAGAGCCTCAGTGCCTGCCTGGGTCTAAGCCGGAGAGATTAAAGGCCAGGTCTAAGTCGACCCAGCTACGTAGCTCAGGGGTATGAAAAATCCACACTCCGAGCCACATAGTTAAGCTGACCCTGTGTAAACAGCACTAGGGCTATGGAAGACAACGGTCAGCCTAGCTCCCGGGGGAGATGGAGTCATCAGCGTGAAAGGTGACTGGCTACAGCAGCAGCTGTTTAAGTGTAGACACCGACTAATTAGCATGTCCAAGGTGCCTACACGTGACAGAGTGGGGAGCTGAACCCCGGTTAGTGCCAAACCACTGGGCCACCCTTCTTTTCAAGGTCAAAGTCTCAGTGCAGGCCACTGACCAGGAATGACACCCAGCGGGCAACATGCGGGTGAGCTTCAAGCCATCAGCTATGCCCAACCAAGAAACTGAGCATGATGGATAGACATGCCACCTGGCGACCTGCCCTCCCCTCCCCTCTGAGGAAGTGGTTGGCTTTGGGTGAGGTGTGTGTCAGTTGCTCCATAAAGCCCACAAGCAGTGGGCAGATCCCTGCTGTAGCCAGGCTGCATCTGGGTTACACCCTGCCCCTTTCAGGTGTGGGGAAGCACCACTCCCATCCTGCAGGCTCGTGGATCCCAGCCTCTCACCCAAGGAAGCCAGGAACCAAGTCAGTTCTTTGGGGATAAGAGACTTTCCGGGCTGGAGGTTACTTACGTCGCTCCGGTTGGAGGGCTGGCTGTAGATAACCGGCTTGTTGGTGCCACTGAGAGAGAGAGAGAGAGAGAATTAAACTAAGATGCTGCACAAGGCTGATCGCTCTTCTCACCCCGCCCACCAGCTGGGTCACCACACACCTCACCCCAGTGCTGGCCTTTCTTCTGCCATCCCTATTTCCCCACCCAACATCCACCACACCCAAAGATAGGACCGTGAGGAGGGCAGCTAAGAGGTGTAGCCCAATACCCAGTCTGCTTTGGGTGACACATTGATTTCTATGATCTCTTCTGTCCCCACCCAACATCCACCACACCCAAAGGGTGCAGCTGATCCTGATGATAAGGCAGCTGCAGACCAGGCAGGGGAGTCTGATGCAAGGAGCCGGATGGGAAGGTCAGCTTCCTAGAGGGCTGCATATATAGCTCTGGGAATGGCCTTGCTATGTTTGGCAGGCTCGAGTGTGGGGCAGGGGCCCAGGAAAGCGGCGGTGGCAGAGTTGGAGGAGGCGCAGAGAGAGGCTGCCGCTGAAGGGTCCCTGGCATGGGGTGCAGAGAAGTGGGCAGGCCTGCTTCCCCTCCCCGCTCCATTCGCCATGGAAGGTGGTGGGCAGGACAGACTGCAGTTTGCCTCTGGAGGAAAGAGGCTACACTGAGGACTGCAGTGGGCCCGAGTGACAGGATAGTGGGTTGCTGCTCCCCAGGAGTAGGCTAGGGCTCGGCCAGAGGGCTGTGCTCCCAAGGCAGATGCCATGGATCAGGACCGATGTGGGCGGAGAGGGAGCAAAAGAGAAGGGACGGCGGCGAGACATGGCTAGTATAGGGTGCCCTGGGGGTTGAGGGAGCACAACTGGCAGGAGGTGCCGTGGAAGTGACTCAAGCCCCGTGACAAGTCCCCACGTGAGAACTAGCTTGTAACTTGCTGCAATCGGGCCAGAGCTGGCAAAGAAAGGAGGACAGAGGGGTATTAGCAGAACTGGAAGGGGAGCCCAGGGCCAGATAAATGAGGGCTGGGGATTAGGTCCATGAGCAGAACTGTGGAGGGGGAGTTTGCAAGCTCCTGCCAGTGCTGAGATATTGACCCCTTTTGGGTAAGGAGAAGCAGAGTATGCCAGGCATGGCCTAGGCTGAGATAGCATTCTGCCCTGCTCGCACTCCGGCAGCAGTTTGTTCACCAGGCCTGAGAGAGGGTACAAGACAATACTGCCATCTGGGGGACAAGGGAAGACATTACGCTGCACTACTTCCACCTGCTGACCTCCATGCTCTAGGCCAGTGGTCCACAGACCCCTGGTGGTCCACGATGGTACTGCAGGGGGTTCATGGAAAGTATTAAAATGGAAGGCTCAGGCCCACTGTTCTTACCTCTCCCTCTCCTATATCAAAGTTTTCCCTGTGGAATGACAGAGTGACAGCCACAGGTTCCCTGCCTCACACATGAGGTAGAGGGGTCTGCAGGTGCCACTTCATCCTCCATCACACCCCAAGCTGAGCCCCAAGCCCAGACTGGCTCCCTCCTGCCCAGCCACGTGTGGGGCTGCAGCAATGAGTGGCACTTCTGCAAGGCGGGCGGCCTGGCAACACTGATCTGAGCAGTCCAGGCCCCCCTTGTCTGGTGCGGCAGCTTTGTCCCTTCTCCTACCCGCATACAGTTGGAGCGCTGTCGCTAGCTTCCCGCTATGCCCGTGGTCACCAACCAGTAGATCGCGATCTACCGGTAGATCTCGGAGGCTCTAAGAGTAGCTCTTGAGCCCTCTCTGAACTGTGCGCCTGCGCAGTACGTTTACATTAGATTTCCTTATTTGAGGAGCAGCTACTCACCGAGCAACAGCGCAGGTGAGTAGCTGCGAGAAATGATGGGAATTTTTTTTTAAAGTAGCAGTATAAGGATTGGGGATAGCAAGTGATGGAGAGGAAGAGAATAGAGAGGGCGGGGCTTCAAGGAAGGGGCGGGGCGGTAGATCTTGGCTTGGTCTGTCATTTAAAAAGTGATCTTGGGTGTAAAAAGGTTGGAGACCACTGCGCTATGCGGAGGGAGGGAGCAAAAAGCCCCAGCTTCGCTCGTGGAGAAAAATCACTCCCCGTCCCGCTGCCTCCCCGGTGGGCCACAAGGGCAGTGGGCCAAGAGCTGTGCTGCTTCCCCAGTGCTTTGGATGTTTGTCTGAACATTAATTAGATGTTCGGAACCGATTAAAAGTATGGTAGGGTGTTTAATTCCCTTGGCTCCTTTGATCATTCCAGTGGCTGTTGTTAAACGTTGCTTGTAGATGTGAATTATTTTATTCTCAACCTGGCAAGCACCAAGTGCAGGGTGAGGTGCCCTGCATCCCCTGCCACCTGCTGCCCCATCCTCTGCTACGTTCCACACGGCTGAACCCAACCCCAAGCCATCTGGGAGGAACCCACAGCAAAGGGGCAGCCCAGCAGCAGTCAAAGCAGCTGCCAACCACTGGTGCTGTTTCCTTGCTAGTTAGGTTGCTCATTCGTGGGAGTGGGCAGGGTGTGCATAGGGAGGCAGGAAGGAGGATCGGGTGTATGTGGGGATGGGTGGTGCAGTAAAGGGGGATGGTGAAGGGGATATAGCAATAGAGGCAGGGGGATGGGTAGGTGGGGATAGGGATGAAAGCAGGTGGATGGGCTGTGGGCCATGGAGCTCCATATCTCCTTGCCCTGGCATGGGGTGGGTGGGGGAGGGGGGGGAAGAGCTGGGGCTGGCACAAGTTGGGCCAGGCAGGAGGGAGAAGAAGAGCTGGGGCTGGTACAGCCTCAACCCAGCCCAGCCTACCCCGGTGGCAGGGAGGAGAGCTGGGGTTGCCTACCCCCAGGGGAGGGAAGAAGCGGGGGTTGGCAAGTATAACAAGCAGGGACACTATCCTCTAGGCTTTTCTTTTCCTCCCCCAGGGAGGGGGGTCCATGAAATTTTAAGAGATTGAGGAGGGAGAAGAAGAGCTGGGGCTGGTACAGCCTCAACCCAGCCCAGCCTACCCCGGTGGCAGGGAGGAGAGCTGGGGTTGCCTACCCCCAGGGGAGGGAAGAAGCGGGGGTTGGCAAGTATAACAAGCAGGGACACTATCCTCTAGGCTTTTCTTTTCCTCCCCCAGGGAGGGGGGTCCATGAAATTTTAAGAGATTGAAAAGGGGTCCGTATGCTCAAAAAGGTTGGGAACCACTGTAATATAGGATTTAGCAGTGAGGCAGTGTAACCTAGGGATGTGAGCAACTGATGGTGGGGACAGCAGAAACATGTGCCCTGCCTAGTCCAAGAGGAAAGGCCAAAGTCTCACACACCTCCCCATTGCTCCTGAGCCTGAGATCCCACCTGGGGGCGGGAGGGTACCAACAGGCTACACAGCAGCTCCGATGGGGCACTGCAGGGTGAGCGGTCACGTCTGGCATACACACTGGCACCCTGCATTCTACCTGCTGCAAGGAAGAGATTCCAGGTGTCGGAGCCTGGCTAGACCTGGGGAATACTCTACCCACATCGCAGGGCTTGAAGGATCTCGGCAGGCCAGGGGCACAAGAGGGATAGAAGAGGCTCAGAGGGGGTACAGAGAACAAGTACAAGGTTCCACTCACCCTCTTCTCTCTGGAAGGGAAAAAGAAGAAGCAGGATGGTTAGAACATGTTGCTCAGCTGCCAACATTTATCTCCAAGGGGCAGCACCCGACACAGTTACAGCAGGCAGCAACCAAGACTTCCGCAGGGCCATGCTGCTTTCAGAGTGCATTCAGATGGCTGTGCCAAGAGCAGACAAGCCTCCCAATCCCACATGAGAGATTCATGCAGGTGGAGCCACAGACATAACCATGGCGTAGCCACACAAGCTCAGCACCACAGCCTGGGGCTTCCATTTAATCCAGAGAGACAGCCGGCAGGCAGGAACTACAATCCCCAGCATGCACTGCTCCATCTTGAGTCAAATGCGGCTTGACGG